TTTTTTTTTGGTAACTATCTGAGCAGCTGTATTTTTTTCTTTGTGCTTATCATAGAGACTATAAGACAGGGATAAGATTGTATTTTCCTTCCTTTCCCCATGATTTTCTGAAAAATCATGTTATGTTTTAAACTTCCCCAGCTACTTATATGTTATATAAAATCAAGATTACCTTAAAGAACTAATTTGACATGTTAGAATAATCATTGGGAGATAAGTAAGAAGTGGCTCAAATACTATTATTGTTTTATGTTCTTATTATGAACTCCTTCTGGACATGGTTTATATTGAATTTATATTTGTTTCCTCTGAAGGACTTAGTGTGGTGCTTGTATATAGTAGGTGCCCACTGAGTTCTACTATGAATTTATATCAGAATTCACAATTGAATAGAGACATTTCTAAAGCCCCAAAGTAAAATATCTTATAGACTTTTAGTAGCTATTTATTTTAATTTGAGATTTTATGTGTACTTTAGGAAATCGCCCTTACATTTTCTTATCTGCTCGGGTACATCCTGGAGAAACTAATTCAAGTTGGGTTATGAAAGGAACATTGGAATATCTCATGAGTAATAACCCTACTGCTCAGAGCTTACGAGAATCTTATATTTTTAAAATTGTCCCTATGCTAAATCCAGATGGTGTCATCAATGGAAAGTAAGTTAAGCAATAGTTATAGAAATATTATAGATTATTGTGGTTGTCCTGTATAAACTTGTTGAAATAAGTGTCCAGATTAATTTGGAAAACAAATCTAGTGATTTTTCTAGAACGAAGAAAGTTTTGGTGGGGAAGTTATCTAAAATAAACTTTTAAATGAAAATATATTTTGTATGCTAGTAGTAATATGATATTTTAAGAAATTCTGTAGCTATGAGAATATGATTTTATAGAATGTCTTCATCTTGCTTGAATTGTTTTAGAAAAATCACAATGTTAGGATATGAGAAAGATTAACACTCTTATATTCCTTTCTTTTTTGATTTGTTAGGGGTGTGAGCTTAGATTTTTCTAAGATTTGGAATCTTCTGGGATCTCTTCCCA